TCCCTAGCATTTATACACCAACACTCTGTTCAGAAGAGGGACTTTTAAAAATTATTCCACACACCCAATGAACACCTTATTTTTTGAAGGAATTGTTGCCACGATGTTTAACCCCTTGGCCTGCCTGTGTCTTGCTTAAAATAAATTATATTTCCTTCCCATTTCTTTATCTGAAAGGATGGAAGCTTTTTGCCTTTTTTTTTTTTTTTAATTAAACTCTCTCAACCTTTATCTTCTCAGTATTTCCTCATATATGAGATGTATTTTGTGGGAATTCTCTGATTCTTCTCCATTTTAAATGTTCTCATACAGTAATGCCTGGAAATGTGCATACTATAATGTAAGTTACCATCTTTTGCTAATACTCCTAGAGAAGCCTAATATCCCAGGGCCTGTTACCCACACCTGGCCCCACTGCACACCAGAGAAGACCATTTTGTATTGGTCTTACACAAAAAAAAAAAAAAAAAAAGCTGGCAACATCTGGTTAAAATAGTGTAATTTGGATGCCTCGATTGATCGTTGGTTTTGTATCACAGGAGGAAAAGGGGTTACCTTTCTAGGTCACACTTAAAAAACTGATGTTTTCTGGGTCAGTCACGAAAGCGTTTGGCCCTGCGCTGGTAGAGGGAGAGCCGTGAGCACTATTGCTGAAGAGGCAACTTGTTGCAGCAAGGAGCCATAGCGAGTTACAGACTCCGCTGATGACGTGATGAAGAGGAGTAGCCCACCTTCACCACAGCTTGCGTTGCTGGGACATGTTTATTCAGCACTTTGGAAGATGAACCCTTCACATCAGGGAAGAGCACAGGAAATAGTGCTAGATAACCTCACCAAGCAAACAGGAGAACTGCTTTCTCTCCTACCTACATTTCTCAGTGAAGTGCCATCCTGCATGGTGCCTGTTACAGTAAGTTGTTTTTTTGGGGGGGTGAGGACTGATATGTCCGAAAGAGAAAGACTACCCAGGCCTCTTTGAAAGGCAGTTATAAGACATAGGTTTTACCAAACTCATGCAGGTTCCTTTTTAAAGCAGACTATGGCTTAGGCTCTCTACTTTTCATTATTTTGTATTTGCTTCACTGAAAATGTCTCCTGAGGAAGAAGCGAAGCCTTTGGCATTTTACATTGTTCACTGGTTCCTTTATTTTTCAGCTGCGCTGTTCCAGAGATGTGCAATTTGCCATTTCTTTGAGGTTTTTGTGTCTTTGTGGTATGGAAAAATTTCTGATTGAAAGATTGATGGGCAGAAATCTCTCTGAACTACTACATGCTTTAAGGCAAGAGCAGAGAACACAGAGAGTTACGGATGTCCTTTGGGAAGAGAGATCAACGCTTAAGTGGGCAAGAATGGGGAAAGAGATGCCATCAAACACGCTCAAATATAATGTTGGGAGAAATTCTAGTAGTCCTGTTTTCATAGTAATCACTTGACAATATAAATTGAAATCACAGAGATTAGATGATTATTTTAAGTGGGAATCACCCAATTATAACATAAGGAAAAAATCAGCAAATTTCAGAGTGTAATTCTTACCTCTGTTGAGGGACAGAACAGCCTATGCAGAACTTGAATCCTATTCTGAGGATTAAAATGAGAATAGCAGCTGTTAGGTTCATTTATTCTGTTTTGGTGAAGGCAGCAGTGTTGCCCCTGGAATGCATTAGGATGCTAAAAAAGACACTGAGCGCAGGATACCTTATTACTGATTTCTCTCAATTTAATTAATATCGGACACAATTGATCAACTTTGAATCAACATCTTTCCTTTCTGTTCACTATAATTCTGTGGTAATTAATATATCACTTCTGGAGTATTGCTGACTTGGCCAGTGTTTCCATGTGGTTCCAACAGTACAGCACGCTAGCCCACTTCTATCTGTTAAATATATTTTGTATTGGCTGAGGGCTTCTAAAGAGAAGAGATAGAACAATCCTTAGGCCTCATGCAGTTATTGGGGATTTATTATATATGCTCTGGGTGAGTTAATCAGAATTTAGAGATTCAATTATTGTTTACCTCCAGACTAAGCATCATCTTTATGTTAAGCACTCCTTGAGCTATAGAAACAGTATAGAATAAGCTGCATTTGTTTTTCTTTAAATCTTCTTGCACTTTCTTGTAAAGCACTGACAAGTCTGAAATCTTCAGATGCCATAGAAGAGGCAGCAGACTTTGATTAAACAGCTGCTCCTGTTATCGGATTTAATGGTGACGATGAACTGAATGTTCTTGTGATCCAGAAGGTTTCCAAAGCAGTATGCTGATTTATGAGCTGGCATTTAGAAATTACCTTCATCCTTCAGAGGTATGCAGTGAAATGTTGGAGGGGGTGAAAAACTGCAGCTGTTGAGTGGCATGTGGTAGTAGGCAATACCTAGCAATAGGCAGAAAAACTGAAGAGGATACTATCTGCAGTGGGAACGTCAGGAGAAGATGGCATGTAGGCAGACTATGACTGTCCAAATTTGAGCAAGGCTGGCACCGCAGAAATACTACTCTTCTTTTTATATGCCATGACTGAAATGGAGAAAGGGTTGATTCATTCTTTCTCTGCCTTTGCGTTATTTATGCCCAAGTAAAACAAGTAGAAAATAACTTTCATTGGGTGGAGTTTTACAATCCCTTTGCAATAGAACAAACAAATGCAGAATTGTTCCTAAAACTCTTACAAGATAGCTTTGGTCTTACATGGGTTGTCTGAGAAACCTTTCCATTTTGTGTCTCATCAGGGTTTGCTCATGTGTGACCTCTCATGAGATGATGCATATTTGGACAGCCAGTCTAGCACCCTCTCGTTAGAAGACAAGCTTTTTACAGACATTAATGCTGCTAGTACCTGGTTCTGAACATAAGTCATTGGGAACTGAGTTCCTACAGTCCAGCTGGCTCTCACCAACATCTTTGTCTATGATTAGCTTTCTCAGTCTAGAAATCTATTCTCTGGCCTAGACTACATTGCTGAAATATGCATGCAGTTGGGTGCAACTGAGGGAACTGAAATGTCATTATCATGTCCTAACTTCTGTTAACTTGCTCAAGTTTCAGGTTTATGAAGGATGTGCAGCTGTGTGTTAAACACATGAAGCCAAGTACACAAGGGGCTGCATGGTGGGGAAGGCTGATGATTTTCTTGTATCTTCTTTACCCCTAAGAACATCAAGGTTTATCTAGATTTGGTTGTCAGATAAGCAGAAAGATGGTAATCCCTTAGTCAAATGGAACTATTGCTATTAGTATCAATTTAATCTTTCATATGTATTTTTCTTTTAGTATGTTTGATTTAAGTCACACAATTTCCACTCTACATAAGCACTGGGCAAAAGCAATCTCTAGGAAAACAAGAGGCCATGGTAGTACAAACTCGGTGTTATTGGTGAATAAGCTACAGAGTAGAGGGAACACCCCAAAACCACAGAGCTACTGAGAAGCCAACTGGCCCATCCTCCTGCCCCAAGGCAGGTTCAGCTATTCCCTGCCTTTCCTGGCAATGCTTATCTAGACAGTTCTTATATGCATCCAAAGGCGGTGGCCCACATCATCCACCAGCAATCTGTCCCAGTACTTTGGCGTTCCTGTCAGTAGGCTATCTACCTTTGAAGTGTGGTTATCCTTTGAAATCTAGATTATACCTCTTCAGATCACGCAGCCTCTCTATTCTATTTATTCTTTCTACTACCCTTCTTGTTGTTACTCTGCCCCCAAAAGGGAGGAGGTTTTTGGACTTAACTGTTGCTATTATTTCAATTGAAGTTGCTCAAATACAATAATGCTGGCCAGCAATACAAAATGCTTAGAACAGATGCTTCTAAAATGTAAGATCATTTTTTCAAATCCTATTCCAGCAAACTCACATAGTGTTTTGAAATTCAGGCTTCATCTTATTTGCCTATGACATTTACCAAATAAAAGGTCTTCAAGGAGAACCTGCAGTAGCCATCTGCTTTCATGGCACAAGCAGAACTGCACCCAGACCTGTTATACTGTTGTCAGTGACTCTGAGCTACTCACAGAGTAAAAATGGGAACTGGGGAAACTGCTGTTTCCACAGAGGCACTTTTCAAGTGATGACAGTATTGATCTCCTTCTCATTTCAGGAGGTTTGTGCACAGTTGTCTTCGTGTTCAGAATACCTGCTGTCTTGGATCTTGGGCAGAGCAGGGTGCCAGATGCTGGTTTTGGACAAGTCATCAGGCAGAACAGTATATGGAAATGTACGGATCTTTTTAGTGGACAGATGCACAGTCTTGTCATTCTGCAGAAGACTGGGCAGAAAACATGTATTGGAAAGAGCTATGGATCATAGTCATAGAAAAAAAGGGTTGGAAGACAGGTTGAGAGGTCAACTAGCTGCACACTTATAGAGTCATGCAAAATTGCTGGTGGCAGTCAGCAGCCTTAGCAGTATGGGTTACTGAGGTTCCCCATCTTTCCATCCCAAAGGCAGCTCCCCACAGGACTCATCTGACATGAACAAAGAGTGACAGTCAGCAAGGAGCAGCAAAGGAAGAGGAGGAGCCAGAATGTGCCCTGCTGCCCTCCTCTCCTCAAGTCCTTTGTTAGAACCATGAAGAAAGTTGCTTGACTCTAATGCTTCACAGGCTTTCCCAGTCCCTACTCTGCCCTCCTCCTCTTTAGCTTCTATGGTAGTCCTACAGGCAACCCTAGAGGTCAAATACAAGTGGTCACAGGAGATGCGGAGATACAGGAATTTCGGTGGCTGTCCCAGGAAAAGAGTGCTGCAGCGAAGATTCATTCATCTCTTCAGGGCAATGCATTACCTCCTAGATTTTTGTTCTGTTTCCCCTGTGATGTTTTCCCATGGCGGGGAACAAGTGAATTAACTATTTTATCATTTCACCTGTGTCCTTCCTCTGAAAGAACCAGGCACTCTCTTTTGTGCCAATATCATTGATTGAGGTAATCAGACTGGCTACTAATCAAAGTGATCTCAGTAGCCTAATTCTATACCTGATCTCTCTCTGTTTGTACTTCAAGGTCTTTGACAGGGTCCGAGAAGATTGCCCTAATTTCCACGAGAAGATTAAGCCTATTAATGCTGAACTCACTCAGCCCAAGCTGGCTATCAGTGCTGAAGATGAGGAGGAGCTTCTGACCCGGGTCAATGTTGTCTTCCACTGTGCAGCAACAGTTCGCTTTGATGAACCGCTGAAGTATGTCCTGCTTTCGGTATTTGCTAAGCGTGACTCAGAATGCACAGCAAGCCCATAAGGTGCCGCTCAGCGCATCTCTTGTATAGCTGCGGTTATAATTCTCCATTTGCATTTTCATGCTACACGTGGTTCTGCACTGAATGTGTAATGTAAATGCTCTGAAAACGTCATGTGTGTATGCATGTCAAAAGTGAAATATCTTGGCAGATTTCCATGGGAACAGAAGGAACTACTGCAAGCTTGGGTTGTAATAGAGTAAGGGAGTTAATTATGACCTAAAATTGGGTTAGGGATAAAGGGTGTTTTGGGTCAAGAGGGAGATGTTTTGGCAGAACTAGCTGGAAACGGCTTGAAGTGAAACTACGTTGTCTCTAAAGCTAGTGTTAATGGACTTTCTTTGTCACTGAGTAACTGAAGAGGGAAATGTGATGTTGTTTAAGAAAATAACCTATCACAAGCTTTAAAATACCCAACACTCAGTATAATTAACTGTTTAAAATAAATGCTCGATTTCTGAAGGAGTTCCCTGTCCAGGCAGCCTTCCATTAAGAAAGAACAGCAGAAATAAGCCACTAAATGAAGATGAGATGGATAAGTGCTGCTGTGCAAATCATAAAGGTCATCAAACTGAGGTGGATGATCTGGATTGCCAGTTCTTTACAGTATGTTGAAAAACACTAAAGCTGTGAGAGTAGAAAACACAATTATTAATATCAGTCTTCATTTGCTCATACGTAGGCTAAATAGATATCCACTGTGTCCACCATAAATAATTGCTTTCTGCAATAACTGATTAGAGAACACACCAGAAAGGAAGCAGCTCTTGATTTAATCTTGAGCCATATGTAGAACCTGGCTCCAAGTAGCAAAGCACTGCACTGCATTAATAGCCATAAGTGTTCTTAAATCGATACACGAATGAACATGCTATAAAAATACACTACAGTGACATGTAACATCAAAGGGAAACTACATTTTTAATAGGGAGGAAGCTAAAAAGAAGTTAAAAGAAAAAGTTAAAATGGTCATCTGCCTGCAGGCAGTGTAGAAACTATTTAAAGGCTGATTGCATGTGATCTGTCAAAACCTCTCTAACAGAACAGGGAAAGTCTGGTATGATTAAATGGCAAAATACAGGAAGTTGTTAAAATCAAATTATTCCTGTATGAATAATAAAATATATCATACAGGTAAAATTTCTAGCAAGTTAAATGTTAAAGCGCAATATTGCTTGCTGCTCAAATAGGAATTTTGAGCAGCAACTTGCTAACGACCCCCCCCAAAAAGACTATTTTTTAAACACGGCAGAAGTCCAAAGTCTACCACAGAATAGGTAGAGCTGAAAGATAAGGGAGGTGCAAAAGCAGTGCTATCAAGATAATAGAAAAGCAGCAACAGAGAAACTAAATTAATTATTGGCACCAATATGCAGTACATCTAGGGAATTCTCCAGATGGAACTCTTGAGGGCAGAAATCTGAGAAACTGTGTTATATTGAAATATTAGTAGATGCAGCTTTAATACAAATAGAAAAACTAAAGAGTTACAAATCACCACGGTTAGATGATATTCCCCTAGAAGGCTAAAGGAACTCTGAACGTCTCACCAGAAATCCATGCTGGGTCTGTATTCTGAGTGCGATTCTGTTCACCCCATCTCAGAAGGGATACGATCAAATAGAAATGTACACGTAAGAATAACTTTCATATGAAGGGTAGCTAAAGTATTCATCCTGCTAGAAGGGCAGGAGGAAATAGAAATCTATAGAAAACGCTATTCTTTAATAGCAACGTGCTAAAAAAATTCAGTGTCTCTGGCTTTAGATATAGTGTTCCAAACATTAATCATTCTCTTAGCTTCTGTTTTCATTCACCTGGACTATTTACAATTTCTCTTCAATGTTGATGTAATTAATTTCTTTAGTGTACGCTGTACTTGACAGCATTATTCATAAGTTTGTACGTGTTGTTGAAAGCTTCTACTCCTGGGCTGAACAGATTGCATATTCCTCAGCCTTATCCCTTCTGTACAGGAAAGTGTCTTTCTTCCAGTACAAAGCATGCAAAAGAGTTGAACATCTGTTCATTGAGATCCATTGCAGGTAGTCTCTAGGACAACTAGCTATGCTGGGTGCATCAAGGTCATCCTTGCTAATCAGGACTCTTTTCCCCTTATGCTTATCAGTCCTCTTCTCCATTCTTTCAGAATATAAGCTGTTCTCGCTAATTGTGTCTTCTTTTAGTATGAATCTGTTTTTCTGGGCCCAAGGACACTTTGCTGCTTACGGGAACCATGTGTTCATCTGGTTTAGCAGTGGTCCCTTAAGGACAAAGTTGAATGGGGACCATAGGAACCATAATGCCTCAGTGTTCATGCGTATTGGAAATATTTCCAGGAGGGGGTGGCAAATATGTCAGATTTAAAGATTTTAGTGAAATGTTACCTCTGATCCTTTGATTTGAGTAAAAATATTTGAGACGCATTCTGTGGCCGTAACACTGGATCCAATAGCATTGCTCTGAAAGCTGGTTTAGCCCTTGCATTTCATTGAAGCTTTCAGCTCTGCTGTGACCCCTTCTCTTCCCTTACTTCCCTTTTCATTATTTGGTGTTCGGATAATGCTCAGGTTCAATATATTCTTGCCAATGAAATGCATTTTTTTTCTTTCCCCTGCCCTTTTTAGACATGCCCTGCAACTGAATGCAATGGGCACGCAGCGGCTCCTAGAGCTGGCCCGGCAGATGCAGAACCTCGAGGCCTTCATCCACATCTCCACCGCCTATGCAAACTGTGTCCGGAAATGTATAGACGAAGTCATCTACCCACCCCCAGCTGAACCCAAGAAGCTCTTTGATTTAGTAGAGTAAGTAGGAACTGCATCGCCTCTTCTGACGTTGGTTTTGCTTCATTCTGCAGAAGAACTCTGAGTTGTTCATATAACCTATAATGCGGGATTTCTGCTCACAGTTGCTGTTATTGTTATATAGCCTTGTCTCCACACACCCATGCCAGCCAGAAATGCTGGCTATGAGTGAGACCAAGGGAAGAGAGAGCTTTCGTTCTAGGTGGTTTTGAGGGGTACTGTCCACCAAATGTCACCCAGTAACTCTGTCCTTTCTGGATTTTATCTTGAAACGAGCTTTACTGAGGTTTTTTTATAAATAGAAGAAATAGAGACTGTTTTGGAGCCTTTTTATATGTAGAGCTGATGAAGTCATGCTTTACAAACATTTGGTTGAGCTTAACAATACTTTTCCAAATACCCAAGTATTAGAAAATAGCATAAACCACACTTAGTAACCCTGTGATATCAGCTAGCTCTAAATTTTTCACACACCATTTAAAAAAAAATTGTGATTTCATGAGAATCCAGCATTGAATAAGTTATGCAGAAGTGCATTTGTGATCAGGAATGGAGTTGTGACGCTTCTTTCTTTAAGACCCAGCTCTGTTGCTACCTTAGTAAGAACTGAAATTTTTCATATACCTTATGTTAATTTATTTATCTCTTCAGCCTCTCAACGTTGTTTTTATTTATTTCAACAATCCTGTGGTATTAAACTGGAGCTACATGGGGATGAGTCAGAAACAGGCTGTTTTAGAAAGAGTTCAGTGTGAAAATCCAGGATTTTGAGGGAACAACAAAAAGGTTTGCTTAATTGAATTTACCAAAATGAAGAATAATTACAAAGAATAACACAATCTGCTGATAAAGGCCCCAGGACACTCTCCCCTTAGACAGATTTTCCCACAGCTGTAACTTTGTTTTCATTTATTTTTTAGTGGTATTCCACTTGTGCGATATAAGCAACTGACCTGTGAACTAGTAACCCAAAAAGCTAGTGTAAAATCTTTCTTCTTTTTGATTTAGGGTGATAGGAGATGAGGTGATTTAATGTCCACTGGGAGAACCATTGGGGTTTTATTTCAAAAAACTGTTTGTCTAAAGAGGTAATTTCACTGTCTAAGGACTACTCCAGAAAATGTAGTACAAATCAATGTTTTCTATTTGAATTTCTCCAGTAGCTCATATTCTTGGATATATTTACTTCCAGTTAGTAGTAGTCAGCTATCAGTTAGCATTTATTGAGCAAGTGGTGTGTGGTAAAAACACCAGAAATGCCCTAGCACACTAGAGCAATGGACTGCCTGGCCCAATATCTCGCCCTCAACAGTGGCAATGGGAGATGCTGTTTCGGGTAGCTACACCAGCCTGGATATGGAAACCGTTCCCCTTTTTGAACCTTCTGGTATTCTGCCTCTGCAACCCTGTGTGGCAGCAAGTTCCAGAAGTTTACTAACTGCTGCATAGAGATGAGTCTTCTGTTACCTGTTTCGAACTGTCACGGTAGTAGTTCCGTTGCATGTCCTGCAGTTACAGCATTGCACTATTTGCCCCGTTCACTGCCTCTGCAATTCTGTAATTCTGTATTGCATTCACCCCGGACCGTCCCTTCTATAGCCTTAAGAGTCCCAGCCTTTTTACTGTCTACTCATATGCAGGCAGGTGTGTCTCCTTGATGATTTCTAGTCTTCCTCTCCCTGTTTTATAACTCCACTCTTTCCCTGCGGTGCAGGGACCAGACAGAACTGCATGCAGTACTGAAGGTGCGGGCACTATTTAAATAGCTTCAAAATTACACCATTGGTCTTGTTCACAGTACCTGATGGTGTCCATCATTCCACTGACTTTTTTGGATGCTGCTACTCATTGACCTGTGGATTTTATAGAGCTGTCAGCTGTGGTTCCAAGAGCTCTTGCTGAGCTGCAACTGCCAGTTCTGAGTTCAGCAACCTTTTAAGACCAGGCTGGACTGCTTTTCCCTAAATGCATCACCTTACCTTTATTTTCGATGAAGCTAATCTGCCACCTTTTTGTCCAGTGACTCAGTTCTACAATGTCCTTTGGAGTTCATTGCTATCAGTATTACGTTTCACTGCCCCAAAAAGCTTACCATCACTTGCAACTTTGGAAACAATTAGTGTTAATGGTTCATATAAAAGAGACTCCAAAGGGCTGAATGCTCATCAGAAACGTGCAGGAGTGCCTGGCTGCCTCAGAGGTTGCTACTTCAGCTGCTTCATATATAACAGGAGGAATTCATTTATCATAGTCTGCATGTGCAGCAGAGAGGATGACGTTCGAAAGAAAGGTCGAGTGACAGAGGATGGGCTTTCAGATGTGTTCTTTGATGTGTTGATCTTGGTGGTATGTTTGGTCATTTTTTCTTTGCCACATGTCCCATACTCCAGAAGTTCACCACCTCCTGGGACTTTCAGTGAGACAGAAATCACAACGTGCCCTCAGCTAGGATGGCATATGTTTCTTTACAGTGTTCGCAGGTAGCAGTACAATTGCTCACAGCAAAGACAACCGCTGCTTTCAAAGGCGTTGAAATCAGGTGGGCCTTGTTGAAACTCACTGTCTCCAGGGTCATTGGTTTAGAAAGTGTTCTGCAAATCAAAGGCAATATAGGAAGGAGATGCATGGGGCTGCAGACTGTGTGAAGGAGCAGGATGGGGAAAGTCTCTGGGATGACACAGGTAGAATGGGATAGAGAAAACTCTTGAGAGACCTGAAGGGCAGGGAATTACTTGGAGGGAGAGAGAAGACAAAGCAGGGTTGGAAGGAGATGGGAGAGATGCACCTTTTATTACTCATTATATAAGTGGAAGAAATAATATGTGGATATCTGGGTACAGAAAGTTTCAGAGAAAGGAGATTAACAGATATCAGAATGTTACCTTCAAAAAGGGATGGGGGAGGAAAAAAGCAGACAGGGAAATATAAACTGCCTTCAAAAAGTGGGAAGAAATACAGGTCATGTTTTGCATCAGCCAGCTGTGAAATCTTTCCTTCACAAACAACCCCTGTCTGAAAGCGCTCTTCTGCAAGTGTATTAAGAGGCATGATCACACAACTGGATGCAATAACAGATCCATTTAATGATGCTTTTGGCCATGCACTTGTCATATGCTTATGACTTTATTCAGTTGAAATCCCAAGTAGGACTCCCAGCTGGTTTTTTTTCTGTTCTTATCCTCCTATTATATCCCTGCTTTCCAGTATTTCAATATTTAACCTGCAAGTAAAACCTTAGGCTTAATCTACATAAACCAAAAGTCACACTTCTAAGTGCTGCCAGGCCCATAGAGGAAACATATAATCTGCCACATCAAGCAAGGTTTGCCTTAATCTAAAGCTGAGGGAAATCAGCTTTGAAGGGTGTGCTGAGGTAAGGAACACGGTGCACAGTGGAGTGTGGGCTGAGGCAGAACTGTTTTTGTAACTGCAGGAAATGTAGATCCATCATGACCTGCAAGATCACTTACAAGAAAGTGAGTGTCTTATTAATGCAAAGTGATCAACACAGAAGGTTAAGTTTTCCTATAGCAGAGTAATTTGGTGCATGCATGTGGTGAAAGAAGAGGTTACTAATTGTTTAATTTGCGTCTCTTGTTCCTGTGGGGCGATTGCAACAGTGAGCAGAAGCAGTAGCTTTGTGATTTAGCATTTCAGAATCTTCAAAGTAGGTCATGGAGGAGTAGGAACAGTTCACCTCGCTGAACTGTCAGCTCAGCGCTCCTGTGATGGTAATGCTGATAGATCAGATCACCTGGTAGGATGGTACCCTTGAGACAGGCAGGAGCATGGTGCTCTTGATGACCACTTAAAGTAATGCAGATGCCTGTCTGGAAGGATGAGGCCAAGGGGAAATTGCTTCTGCTTGTACTTCCGCACCTGTCTTTGTGAGAATGCTAACCTGTAAGTCCCTACAATTTAAAGAAAATAAAATAAAAGGCGGGGGGGCGGGGGGGGGAAGAGACTTGTGTGCAGCTTAATTTGAGTTCCAAATAAACCTAGTCTTCCTCCAGGCTCCGCAGAAATAGAGATATCCTTTTGGTAGGTAGGCTGGTAATTACTCGACAGATTCGAACAATGGCAATTTAGCCGAGACCCTCAGGAGGCTGGGTTCAATGGCTGCCTAAACAAGCTTTGTAAATTGAGTCAATATTGTGTGCTACTTAGAGCCTCTGCGTAGTTCAACTTTGTATTTTGTGCTTAAACAATTCTTCTGCCTTGTTTCTGAAGCATGGGACTAGGCTTGCAAATATTTGTGCCTGCATAAGGCTTTTTTAATTGAAAAATTAATTTCTATATACCAGAAAAATGCCAGATTCTTTTTAACTCATTCCAAAACTGAGAGATTCACTGAGTTAAACCCTCGCCTGGAAACTGTTTGGCAGTTTCAGTGACTCAATGTTTTCTCATACAACAGCTTTCCTGTAGTATTTCCATCTGTGTCTAATGACAGCCATCTGAAAACCAGTGTGCCACCTGAGCCATCAGGTATTTGCATGTTTATGTTGATAGGATCAAGTAATTCTCCAGGTGTGACAGTCTCCACCTTATTCCTCTCCCCTTGACCTCTACCTGTTTCTGAGATTCAAGCTAAGGAGGGGTGAAGTGAGGATCTGCAGGAAACAGTATCCTTGCAATGTCCCTGGGAAGCGCACACCCATGCAGTCTGAACTGTAAGTCCATTGACTTAATTACAAATTGGATTATAGGAGTTAATCTTTGACTCTGTGGTGTAACACCAGACTGCTGAAAGCCTGTTGGGGATTGGCAGCAGTGTGCAAGGGCTCTGGAAGTACAGCCAGTTCCTGTCTTTTAGACCCAAATGCTGGCAGGACCAGTGGAGCCTTGATGGTGTGCCAGGGAAGAGCCTTGGAGCCTTAGGCCCTTGCTGCAGCACCATAGTGGTAAGGGCTGTTCTTTTAAAGGTATATACATAACTACTTCTGATGGGGTAGATACTTGAATACCTTAAAAAAAAACAAAAACAAAAACAAACAAAAAAACCCCACAAAAACAAAAAACACCTTGTTTTGGGGGGGGAGTTTTCGGGGTTTTTTAAGCAGCCAGCACTGATAGTTTTTTAATTTCCTATGTGAACAAGCCAGTGGAAAACCAGTAGGAAGGAACATCTAAGATTGTAAATAGTGCTACTGGAATAATATCTCTGTAGGATGTTGTTCTAGCTTTTGGGACCTCTAATGCTACTCAATGCAGTAACTCAAGGTTACCAAGAATCTCCTGAAGCATACCTGTGAGTATATAGGGACTGTGTTGGCTAAGGATGAGTGCTACCTAGTGAGAGTACTAGGTTGGAAAGCTGCATCGATCTGTAAGCCGTGGCTATATCTACTTTACAGACTGCAGTGAAGCATAAAGCACACAAGAGGTTGCTTTAGAATGAGATTGTATAGATACCTGAAGTTGAGCTGGACATCACAGCATGAAGCTCACCAGGGTCATTTTGCACTTTGAAAACAAAAGTAACCTTTCTCTCACAGAGCTGTTCAAAATCCAAACTAGTTGCTCCTTGCTTTGTCTTAAATGGCTTTGACTTGCTTATCCTTTGTTGCAGGTGAAGATTCCTGTCTCACTGGTCTTTTTTGCCTCAATCTCTTCTCTTCTGCATGGCAACTAATGATGTTCTCCTTGTTTCCTGTAGGTGGTTGGATGAATCTATCATTCAAGACATCACACCCAAGCTGCTTGGGGACTGGCCTAACACTTACACGTATACCAAAGCCTTGTCAGAATACCTGATTCAGCAAGAGAAAGGAAACTTGAACATTGCTATCATCAGGCCATCCATCGTGGGAGCTAGCTGGCATGAGCCTTTCCCAGTAAGCATGAATACATAGCAATTCCCTACCGAGAGCCCTTATTACAGATGTAGCTGCAGTACTGTCAGGAGTCTCTCCCTACTTGTAGCAGTGTCCGCTTGAGAAACAGGTACTCCAGTTCATAGGAAAACATGTGGAAGAGGTGGAGGACCTGTGCTGGAGTAGGTCAGCAAACCTTCTTTAGCATCTTCAGGACAAACTCTTGTCTCCAAGTGAAGAGAACACATTTAAGCAATAATAACAGGAGCTGGGATAATAATGGTGCAAAATGCTGGACTTGCAACTGCCAGTCTTACAGGCAGAGGATTGTCTTCATTCATACAGGAGTTCTGTGCTAGCTGGGGAAACATGAGATCTTGGGGTTGATCACAGTCCTGATACATTCTGGATCGAGTCTTTCCATGGTCTAGTGAGCCTATTCGTGAGGTCCTGTTGAGCACTCTAGACCTCACATGGTCCTTGAAAGCATTTGATAATGTCATATGCAGTTACCTAGTATCTCTGTCTTATGTTGGTAGTTGTTGAATTCACTGGATTCACACTTGTATGGGCCTGTTGCAGATAGAAATGTCGGCCACGCAGTAATTAAATGCAGCTGTACTTTTGGACTGAAATAATTCACGAAGCTAAATATGCTAGTAGGAATAACATACCCTAAGATTGCAGCCAAATTGGAAAGGCAACGTAAAGTCACATTTGGTTTTCATGCAGCTTGAAGTGTGCCAAAGATGGCTGAGAGATAGCCGAGGCTCTGGGCCAAGCTCCCCACCTTGGAAAGACAGAGTGAACTCTGTTAGGTGTCATAACCCGTTTCGGGTCAGAAAGCTCATCACTGCTCTTAACTCCAGCTCCCACAAGTGGCAGTTGCCCTGACCTGAAGTAGAACGGGATTCAGAAGTGGAGTGGTATTTTTTAGTTCCTTGCCTTAGAAATTAGCTGGAGTAATAAAATCAGCCTCAGTGATAATTGCATGTTATATGTTGGTGGGTATATAACGCACTGACTGTTTTCAGCAGGTGTGACAGCATCAAGAAACTGTGGTGTTTAAAGCCGAAGTTTATTGCGGTAGCCAAGTTATTATAGGAAAGAAATGGTTTCTAAAAAAAAAAAAATTATATTCTGTTGTTGATGGGTAAATTGCAGACGGAACAAGGTATCATACAATGCATCCCCTATTTAAAATCAATTAGATACTTGGTACTGGCTAGCTTCCTGGCAGCTGTCCCAGATAGGCTGGTGAGCCTCGTCTCGTTGCTTCTTTGTCTACACCACATCATTATAGACCTCCTGGCATTTCAAAGCCTGCATAAGCAACGTGTCACTGAAATAAATAGTAATCATTCTTCTTTTTTGCAGGGTTGGATTGACAGCTTCAATGGGACAAGTGGAATATTTGTTGCGGTATGTCTAGTTACTATTTGAGCTCCCCTTAAAGTGGAGATAGAGTTATTTTAACAACAACTCTAAAGTTACTCTATGGCCCCACTTATAAATTGTGTGCAAAATGATCATAGCCATTTTCTGAACCTGGTAGAAAGATGTCACACACTTGCCATACATCTGTATACCTGTGGCACACAGAAGACTGTCTATTTAAGCTGCATTCAAAAAAAGGACATTGAAAGAGTATTCACGTTGCTGATTCACTAAACGTGCATTGCAGATTTTAGTTTTGGACAAATACGGACTTTTTTTTTTAAAAGGGCAAAAGATGCACCCTTGAAACTAGAGTAATTCACAGATGTCAAAGCTTGAATCTTATAACACAACTTAATTTTCCAGGCCGGATTACCATGAATACAAGGCATCATTACTTAAAATCTTATTTATCTTCATAGTTAGGCAGAACCATGGTTTAATTCATGTTCTGGATATCAACTGGCTACAGTTTGTGACCACTCCACAATAAGAAAGAGTCTGTGTCTCACTTGCCATTGCTTTATACGTGATTTCTCTATGTGCAGAGTACACCTAAATGGTGTGTGTAACTATCAATTCAGAATCTGCCAGTTACATGGATAATTCACTATATTCTTGCTTAACACTGGTGTAAATAACTATGTGCAAATGGCAAGGAACAAACTCATAAGTAATGAATAACTTGATGATAAAATATTTTGTGTAATATGAAAATAATCATGATAGTTTAACATATGAATACTGTAAAGTTGCATACCTTTTCTCCTGGCTTATATTTTTTTTCTGAACTAAAATCTCTGCCTTAGGTCTATTTGTCAATGCATAATGCTGTATAGCTATGGGCAGATATTTTTGTTTATATATGAACTGTCCAACTTGATTACTTTGTAAAAACTATATTGTAATCGGCCTGATGCAGTGTATAAAAGGATTAGTAATCTACAATCATAGGAGAGCAGAATAAAATCCAAATATCATCTTGTTAAAAAAGCTCATTTATACCTGAAGTAGAGCATAAATAGAAACAGTTACTTCTGGAATCCACAGAACCAGTGAAATTAGTAGGTATATCCCAGCTAATGCTTTTATCTGAAACCCCAGTTACACATTTCTGAGACATTCAAAAGCTCCCAAATGCATCATTTGTGTTCACAAAGTGTTACTAGCTCCTATTCATCTCACAGGTTCATTAAAATAATTATCTATCAGCCTTTTACTCCTTGCTGACTGCTCATAAAGCTTGTATTGCTTCTCTCTCCCTTCTCCCAGCATCTTGTGCCATTTTCTGTGTTCTTTCATGACATCTTGTCATCATCACAATAAAGAACGGTTTTGCAGTTCCTTAACTTTGCAGATCCACTCCTTATATTTTCGTGTGACAGATTCTAACTTTTGTAATGATTCTGTGAGTTTCGGGGATTTTTGTGATTACTTTTGCGCGTTACAGATGTCTGTCACAAAAATTTGTCCAGAATTGGGTTGCAAGAAAGATGCTATACAAAAAAGGTCCATTGCATTGCTCTTCATTCCCCACAAATGGGTTACCTAAGTAACAAATTATGGCAGCTAGCTGTCATATGTGCATTATATGCCAGTACGTTGTGAAACACAGGCCAAAATCATGTGCTTTAGCCATATAAAAACATGCCAATCAAATCTTTTGCCATAACGAGATTATATTTGTCTTGTACCATCTCCATTTGCTACAGAACTTAGTTGGACTGGTACCAGTTATCTGGAAGTGAAAGGTATTTATCATTAGGGAGAGCAAGAGACTTCTGGTCTTCTGAGGGGGGAAAAAAATACATAGTTTGAATTTTAATATGCTTGGATATTGTGAATGGGCAATTCTTGTTTGGTAGCTTGAAAATTAACCCTTGAACATCTGAGTTATGTATTAGTTTAGTTACCTGGAAGTTGTGTGATGACAACCAGCTCCCTCAGCCAACTGTATTTCAAAGTGTATTTATTAGTCAAGTAGCTTTATTTGCTTTAATTAAGGATGTAAAAAGCAAAAGGGAAGTGTTTTGGTGTTTGTGGTTGTTTGTTGTTTTTTTTTTAAGTCGTCCCCCCCCATACTTAAATATTCACTTTCAACTTCTAATGCAAGCTCATCCTATACGAAGAACAACGCACAGATTCAGATTTGGCTCAGATGATCTTTGGGATTCCCCCCCCACCTCACTCGTCACCATGATATTTGAGTCTGATCATTTCACTCCACAAATAGATGCAGTTATTTTAAATATTCATGAAATACGGGAGTTCAAGTGGTTCTTGACAGTCTTATTTGCCCCAGCTGCTGTGGGCAGCAGCTTTGTTTGTTGATTGAAAAACAAAATGAAATTACATTTCTGCTGGACTGTAATTGAGGCATTTTGTCTCACTGTTCCACATTACACGTAAAGCCCTTCCTCCCTGCAAGGCAGTGAAGCTGTAGGGCAGAACCATGGTTTAATTCATGTTCTGGATAGCCACTGGCCCCAAAGAGCTTCAGCTGGGAGGCTGTCCAGAAACGTCAGACTGAAAAATGGTTTCAGAGGCTTCAGCTAAAGTAGCTTCTGTTTCACTAAAGAGAAAAAAGTCTGCAACTACGAATAGAAATCAAGCCATACCTGATAAAGTAGTACCAAACCATTTCCAGTGTAAAAAGTAACTTAAAACACTTAAACCTGAAGTCTTTATTAAATACACGATACATGAAATGTCTAATTCACCATCACTGGAAGTGTTCAAAAAACGTGTAGACATGACACTTTGGGACATGGTTTAGTGGGCATGGTGCTGTTGGATTGATGGTGGTACTTGGTGATCTTAAAGGTCTTTTCCAACCTTAATGATTCTGTGATCATCACATGCAGCTCTGAATACAGGTGTGTTTGCAGCACATTCATCAAACTTCCTAGTTTTGAAGACCTCAAAAATGTCTTTAGTGTACCTGTGAAAACATGATAGTTGATCACACCGTGGTCTCTAGTGGGCCTGTGTTCACAGCAGTGGAAAATTTGTAGCTGAGCTTGATTTGCTGCATTGGTTCTTTTTGCTTGTTTTCCCTTGAAAAAACAGTAGTTAGGAGCAAGAAAAAAAAATCATAGTGATGTTGCAAGTTAAGGTTCTATTGTCTAAGCCTAACTGGGGTTCAGCTTAGGACAGCGGAGGTAAACTGCATGCCATGGGTTTGAGGAGGATGGAGTCATGTGGGGAAGCTTACACGGTTGCCTGTGTCTGAGTCTGTCTACGATCGCTCCTCCAGCTGCACCAAGGGTGAGATGAGACTGCTCAGGAGCATGTATGAAAATTACATCAGTCACAAGTGGTGTTCCCTCACTTGCAAGCAGTGAAACTGTATTGTGTCTGGCTGAGATGGGGTTCATTTCCCTCATAGCAGCCCTCATAGTGCCCCACGGTAACGCTGGTAACAAGTGGAGCTGATTTCCCCAAGTTGAGTCCGTTTTGCCCATGACGGTAACTGCTGACTGATCTCTCCCTCCCTGCCCTTTACCTCGATCCATAGGCTTCTCGTGATATTTTTCTCTCCCCTGTCCAGCTGAGGAGGGGGAGTGATGGAGCTGCTTTGTTGGGCACCTGTTATCCAGAAATGTAGTGGGTGGATTATAGATTGATTATATAAAACCATCTGATTATAGAAGGGGAAAGGAGTGGGGGAGAGACAGAACAAAAACCCCCAGATAAACACCTCCCAAACAGGGGATGTGGTGTCCTTTAAAATCCACCAATGACCAGCAGACGATGGCATGTTCTTTGCAAGTTAATATCAAGTCTTAAATGCTTTTTTCGTCACACCTTTCTTCTCCCCAGACTTCAGGCAAGGGTTTTTGCACAACTAGGCACTTCATGTCTAGTTGCTGTAGTAAAATTTCATCTTTCACAGATGAAGAGCTATCCCATCATGAAATGGGAGTCTCAGGTTGGAAGAAAAGAAAAAAAAATACTGTAACATTTTCTTTGCCCTAACTTTTAAATATTCATGGATCTGTAGAGCATATTCCCTTGCCCCTCCACTCAGTCCTTCCCTCTGGTTTTACAGGGATCGAATTGTAAGAGCTTTTTTACTTCCCTGCTTCATAAGTACTTTTATCCTCCCAGCTTTTTCACTGGGTCCTCAGCTTCTACATCAAATTCTATTTATTTCCCATGTTTTATTTCCCACATATTACGTAACTTGATTGCAACCGTGACTCTGCCATCGGGGGTTTCTGGGTTTTTTTATTTGCTTTGTTAAACCTTCATACCTGACACACTAGGTGAAGTTCCTTGACCCTGTTTCACCTCCATGTTTCTATATTGCTGAATTGTCCTCTCTGATTCAGTCTGCCATGTTGTTGCCACCTGTTGCCATGTCTCTCCTGTGGAACCTCCAAAGGTCATCAAGGAAACCCCTTGATAAACATTCAGGTTAAATATATACATTCTGGGGATCCTGGCAAATGCACTTTCAACCAGAGCAAAATGAAAATCTTCTGTTCTTGGCTGCTTCTTCCCTTTGGTTGTCAGTACTTTGTATTTTCACTTGTTCATTTCCTGAGTTTTGTTGGGTGGTGAGCTCTTCAAGTCAGGGGCCATGTCTTGACAGTATCTTTGTGCCTAACAGACACAACTTTGGGAAAAAGGAAGGTGTGAATACATCCAAAGGAGAGGGAGTAAACTTTTCAAAAAGCCTATTGGTGTCATTTCCAAAGTGGCTACTCTCTTTGAGGGACACTCAGACCTCTGTCTGCCTGTGTCATTTAAGAAAATGTAACTTCAGGTATCACTGGGAATTTTACTTCTGTAAATTCAAATATATTTCTTTCCTAAGGTATTTATTTCATACTGAGTTAACTAAGAGTCAAGTCACAGCTTTTCTTGTTATACACAGCACAGATGTCATCATGTTTTAGACTTCCTCTGAAAATGGAGAACAGTGGGATCCATGTGAGTTCCGTGCTTGTTTTCACAGAAACCAAATAACCTTCTGCCGCATGTGCCAGGCTTGAGAAGTGCTAACATGAGGGTCTGTCCTCAGTCCAAGCCGATGAAATCTTACCGTAGCGTTACATCAGTGACTGTTTTCCTTTGTCCCACAGGCGGGCAAAGGGATTCTGCGGACCGTCATCGCCAACAACGAAGCAGTGGCAGATATGATTCCAGTAGACGTTGCCATCAACCTCACCCTTGCGGCCGGGTGGTACACTGCTGTGCACAGGTGGGGAGGCACTCCCGTTTCTGCCGGACTTGGGCATTTACTGCCTGCACCAGGGCTTTAAAGGGAACTGGAAGCTAATTGAAAACTTGTGCAAGCGCCTTGTTGATTCATTTTCTGGTTGATGTTTTCTTCCCTGGGTTGGCAAGGACTAAGAGTGTAGCAGAAGCAATAGAGACAGGCTTTAGAGTTTGGAAGGTGAGACCTGATTCTGAGTACAATGTAAGCTCAGCTGACGAGTCTCTCTCACGGAAGTCGCTTTTCTGAAGGCCAAGAGCTTTACTGTAGCTTCTCAGCAGCCATTTTTGGGCCTCCTTTCTCAGGCAGCTACATTGAATCGCTTTTCAAGTGGCTTCTAGAGTTTTGTTGGTGAAAATGCTCTGCATGTTTTCCTTGGAAAAACAATATAAATATATTATGGGCTCATATGATAGGTGAGATTGTCTAAAAAAAAACCCATCCTTTGCATTGTTGAGAAGGATACATGTCAGTGACATTAAGGATTTTAGATCTTTTCCTGTGAACCTCTGGCTCTGACCTTTAATGATTAGGTAGGAAGAGCTACAGAGTAAACCACATGAATTATTCTGGAGGTTTATGCAGCTGAGAAATCAATACCAAGCAAATAAAAGGCCAAAATATTTCACTTCGAAGGACAGTAAGCCCTCTGAACTGAGGGTGGAGAAAAGCTGCATACATTAATCTAAATACAGGGATCCTAAAAGGATCTTAAAAGGCAGGTTATCAGCTTTTCAGATTTATTTTTCTCATAGTTGCATCCCTCTCCATCGGCAACAGGCAAAGCAACATGGTCTGGGAAAAATACATACAGCTTCCCTTTACGCACACACCTGCTCCTGAGAGCTTCCAGATGACGACAGCTAGAGCCTGTCCATATAAGCTGGAAAAGGAGACAAACACATGCTGATAAGCACTATCTCAGCACACAGGTAGACTTCCTGGCTCTGGCCGTGGTAGGGAAGTGCCATTTTTTAAACTTTTCGTTGGCAAAATATACATGCTTTTAGTCTGGTTCCTACACAAATAAGTTATTAGGCTGAAGGGGCAATTGCAGAATTTGATTTAAAGCTTTGTCTAGTTGGGCACAAGCCCAAGGTTAACAATCTGTATTCAAAAATCAAAAGCCTGAGTGTCTGTAAATTTAATTTCTCTGAGAAAGTTTTGGGCTTAGGTGCTGTCTTGAAGAATAGCATGTATGGTTTAAAATTTTTTCTAAATCATATAATTAGAAAGTCAGTATCCTTCAGGGCAGGAGACATTGCTGACGGGAATTAGATTCTAAAACTTAGCAGAGAATTGCAATTTTCACGACACAGTGTAGAAGCTCTACAAAGCTCTACACACTACTCAGCTAGAAGGCAGAGAATGGGAAAAAATCAACAGGGAGAGACTCTTCATGGGAAGCTGAGAAAATGGAGAAATCCTCTTCATTCGTGTTTAATGGGCCTGTCCCACTTCAGTGCACTTTCCATCAGGTTATGTGTGTGAGCACTAGGTGAGTTTTCTATATGGGCACATAGTACATATTTAGTCCTTAGTGAGTTGCTATATTGATTTCTGTAATGCAGAGTTTCCCACATTAAGCACTACTGTGCATTTTTATGTTTAACACACCATCAGACTTCTACTCAGTAATTCAAAGTTACAGGAGATCATGGATTCAGAGCTTGACACATGTCTATTAGTCCTAACCATCCCTAAAAGTCTGCTAAGGATTAATAATAATGATAATAGACAGTCAAATGCCATGACTTCAAAGCATTATTAAAAAAAGCACCATTAAAACTGAGCACTGTCCAACTGCAGTTTTCAAGTATTACTGTGTGAGATTTCCTATCCCAGGTTTAGGGGTTCTGTCTCCTGGTATCTTCAGTCACAGGGGTTTTGAAAAGAAAGGTTCCTCATAGGCAGCTTCCTCCAGTGGAGAAAGGCTCTGAGCACCACAGGCATCCTAGGAGCGCTGAGATGCTGTATCCTCCAGCCAAGCTCCTATCCCCTGTTCAAGGCCAGTTCTCAACTCTTTTAGCATTTTGGCAGATGGTTCCAGCTGCTAATGCAGAGTAAGAAAAATGTGGCATTGATGGCATCATTTGCACCCTTGGAAAGGCAGACTTAGATCAAAAAAAGCTGTTTGACTAATTCTTGTCCTGTATCAAAGGAAGAAGTAAACCCAGTATGATCTATGTTTAGTCCCACACCCAGATAACAACCCAACTTTATTTGGTATTAAAATGATAATTTTGTTGAAATGGATTGATTCATAATCACCACCCTAACAAACGGAGTTTAAAAGTAGCACAAATCATATCCATTAAGTAAATGATTGTAAAATACACAGTGTGTCCCTGAGGTTGGCTTGGGCCAATTATTTACAGTATACGAAAAGAAACTATTAAAAATCAGAAACTTGTCTCTATGCATGCTTTCCTTGTTGTTTTTATAATTTTTGATAAGTGATGCATGTTTTTTAAACCATGTTAACTTCATATACTCTCCAGAATCTGACTGAATATTATTAAAACTTCATGGTTTATACTGTATTTTCATATTTGTGAAAAATTACATCATCTGCTTTTTTTTAAGAGCTGATATTATTTATCGGGCTGTTAGCTTTCATGCTGCATTAATAAAGCTTTATGTGCTTTTCTTCACACCTTAAAACACTACTTCTTTTTCTTTTCCAGACCAAAAAACCTGTTGGTGTACAACTGCACAACAGGTGGAATCAACCCCTTCTTCTGGGGAGAAATGGGTAAGGCCTAATTTAAACCTAGAACATGTCAAACGTCAATAGCAATCCTCGGCCGGGCTTTGAAAAGGTAGTTTCCTATATCCAGGTGGCATTCAGCATCTGCCATTCAAACTGCGTGTGGGAGGCCCAATTGCAGTTGGTGAGCAAAAGATCCTGGTGCTGGGCATTCAGCTCAGGAAAGCATCCGTTCAGTTTTCATTGTGGGCGTAATCACATAGCAACCCAGCAAAGTATGTGCTTTGCTGCACTGAGGTATTAGTGGTGAAAAAGGGAATAGAGAGCCAGCCCCTTAATTCTGTGAGATGATGCTCTGCACAGCCGTAACAGGACATCTTCCTTTTCTGATTGAGAATCTTTTCTTGGGTTTGGGGTCGGGGGGTGTACTTTGAAATCCGTTGGAGATAGTGAATAAAAACTAGTATGTTAAGGGAGTAGCCTTTCTTCCTCTTTCTAAAAACTCTAAACAGAAATAATTGATGTAGACTTGAGAAGTCAAACCTTGAAATGACAGGTGTGCTTCAACAACAGTTTGCCTTTTGATCATGAATTTTGTCAGTGGAAGAATTAAAATTATTTTGTGGCTGACTTTTCTTCAAATGGATGTGCTTCTGAGGCAGTGGTGAAAGAAAGGGAGAAAAATCCTTACACCCTTACAGTGGAAAACTCACACTGAAACCAAGCAGCAGAAGTACTACGTACAGTCAGTACATTAATGGACATGTGTACAGGGCCTGATCTGCTTTCTGTTATACATTAATTCAGATCTTTGTGTGTTAAATACAGGATGCTGGCAAATTGCTACTGTGGTGTTTCATCTCTGAGCCTTTGCTTTGCATTTGCCTTTGCATTATTTAATTGACAAACTGTAAGTCAGCAGAAAATCAGACCATAATTGCATTTTCAGAACAAGGCTTGTCTGAAAATCCTATTAATGTCCTACCATGAGATTTGATCAAGTGATCTAGCAGGGAAGAGATTTCAGCAACTGGCTGAGCAGTGAGAAAATCACACCACTTTCCTGATATTTTTTTTTTTAATGAGAGATCTAACATTGTGGTTTGTCACAATCATGCAAAGAGGTGAAGTTTCATAGATGATTGTTGGAAAACGTAGCCAGTCTTCGTAATATGTGAAGTCAGATCTTTGGCTTTGTCATGGGAGTAAATGGAAAGTTCTTCACAGGCTGCTCCTTCAGGCAACAGCCACCATAGCATTACTACCTGAGGTTTGCCTTAACCTATTTTCAGTGTAATTTTACTGATGAAAACAGCAATGTATTAATGCATTGTAACTAATCTTACTCTGTTACTTTGCTCATAACTGTGGATTTAGCAATGAAGTCACCTGAGTGCAGAGGAAGCTTGCATAAGCAGTTCAGCTGCGTGATGGGACCGAAGGCAAATTTTTTTCCCTGGGTGAGACTGTGGAGCTCTTTCTACCACATGTTGTAGCCACAGTTTTCCGGAGATCGGCAGGCTGCAGAGAGCTATTAAGTATAAATTCATGAACAGGAATTAGGATGGAATATTGAAGAGCAAAATTTTGCCCTTAAAGATGTTGCATGGTTTAAGAAATTAGTTTGGGAAAGGTTTATTACATTAGGATGTTACGACTGCGACCATCCAGTGTGAATTTTCAATTCAGTCTCCTACCAATTTCTTTCTGGTAAATACACACAATTCTAAAATCTTCCTTGTATATATGACAGACTTTCTCAAGCCACTCACATTACTTTCTCTGTCTAATCACTATTATTTGGCTTCTAGGCAGCCAGTCTCACCGCATGAACTTTCAACAGACCTTTCAGAGCCATGATGTCTCTGAAATAAGAGCTACCACTGAGTAGTCCAGCCCCTGCACAGAAGGACCCACCAGTTGCCTCCTTCACACATGGGGCAGCATCTGCTACTCAAGTCGTCACCTTCTCTTCCTGAAAGCCTGTTTCCAACTGTCTTTAACTCTGCTGACTTTTCAGGTTGAAATTGTTGAGGCCAGGTCTTTACCTCCAGTGGTTTTTCAACTTTTTCAGAATTTTTCTTTTTCACCAGTGTGAAAGAAGATGTTTGATTGAAACATACAGGAGACACAGGATCAGCAGAGGTAAAGAGAGTCTGTTCAAGGAGCCTGGGGAGGCCGGGCTGGCGCAGGGTCTGTAACCGGTCATCAAGATGGAGGGTTGTGAGAGCAAGACTGGAAGCTGCTGGCAGGGAATGGGGAATGGGAGTCATCTGGCGTGGGACTAAGCATTTTAGTGCAATTCAAACATGGGGTTTGCAGAGGGGAAGACCTGGACTACCTGGTTAGGGAGACTTAGACCAGGACCAGCTGTAGGAATGACAGGCAAGCACAACAGAGCAGGGATTTTTCAGTGGGAGAGGAGGAAAGGAGAGAAAGATCAAAAAGAGAAATTGAGACTGGAGTCGGATGAGGATGCCCTGGGTAAGGAACAGAAGTGACTGAGATGCAGACATTTTGAGTACAAAAGTGATGTGCTTGAAGGGAAGGAGAACAAAGAGATCTAGAAGAGAATTATTTGAAAAATATATGTCTACTTAAAAGCTTGTTCTTAAACATCCATTACAAACCAGTTTATTCTTTAGATCTCCAGATACAGACGTACCTCTAGTGTTAAAACGAACCTTAACTGATTTATTTCTTTTCCAAATAAGGCTATGCCTTGGGACTTTTTTCTTACTTTATTCAATTACTGCTATTATTTTCCCTGCTGTTAGAAAAATGTGGTCAGACGACTGTGTATTACTCTGAAGAAGCGTATTCTGCTTTGCTGCAATCTAAGTCTTGCTAGTCTGACTTTTTGAAGTACAGTTTGCAATTTCTGCTCAAAACTGAACCTTTAAAGCAGGCTTTTAGATGGTGTTCAGTGTGGGAAAAATTAATTTCAATTTATCCTTGACAGTCTACCTAGGCGAGACTGATGTCCGATTCTCCCCCTGCTAAATCTGCCTTTGAGTTGTAGAATTTGCTGCTGTGGTTTTGCGCTGTGGGCGGAGGGAAAGACCACCCACCCGCCAAGTTGTTTCAGTAGCTCCTAGAGGTGATGAGTTTCTGGTTCAGGGTTCTCTGCCTTCCTGACCCATCTGTCTGATTCTTTCTCTCTCTCTCCAAAACACAAACTGTTGTAGCGTAAGAGACTTGCTACACTTGCAAAGTTGAATGCTTTCCAGAAATCAGAAGATTGTGCAATTGTGCTGAGTCAGTGCAAGCCAGGGTAAGGGAGGTTTGTAAAGAAAACGCCCATAGCAATAGCTGTTCCAAGTTACGCGAAACTGGTGTTTTCCCAACTTCCTTCCAGTAAGTCTTTCAGGTTGGTCCCACTGCTTCTTATGTGCATTTTACAACAAAACCACTTTCATTCCTGACTTTCAGAATTTTTCTTGAGTTTTCAGCAGGCATCTCTCCTGCTCTTGACATATGTGCTTCTTGCACTGAGTAATATCATGGCATAATACTGTAGCTCCTTTACTACAGCTGCATTTTCTGCTTACAAGCCTTAAGTAACCAAGATAAGAGTGTGGCTGATTTCTGTGAATTTGGTGTGTGGTTGATGATCTGAAATGACAAGGGCTGCATTTTCCACTTTACTGATTAGTTCTTTCTTGCTATCCTGGCCAAAGATGCCAAAAATGCAAAGAGAAAAGAAAGGCAGTAATGTCTTTAACATGTTTCCAAAGGTAAACCTTCTCAACCAGTTCACAGCTGAGAACTAGATCTGCAGTATATTAACATCAGGATTTGAATAAACAGAGCTTTAAATACATGCTGCAGGCAATATCAAAACTATCACAATTCCAAAATATCAGTGGTTCCCAGTTAAACTGATAGGCTTCCATTAGGAAATGAAGTGACCAAGTGAAACTAAATGAACTTAGATATTGATAAGCAGATGAGAGTTTGTAAATAAACTGGGATTTAAAGTGCCTCTTGGAGAAAATTCCTTAAGGGGAGAAGCAACAAAGTTCTAGAAGAGAATTGGATTCACCTAAAAAGGATTGCTTTCCTGACCCATGAGTTATTTGAATGGGTACAGATACACAACTCTTCCAAACCCCAAACTAGGAGCAGTTCTCTTTATGTTTAAGCCAGCTAGGGCATTGTCGAACTATGATTGTAGTAAATACTTGGCCATGCTGCTAACAGAGGAAAGAAACTTCTCACACACTGCTTAGACACAGACTCTGCCAAGAGCTGGGCCAGGACAGCTGCTTCCTTCCCAGTAGCCTATCCCAAACTCCTTATCACCACTCCCCTGCCAGGAGTAAACACCTTTCCAAATCTTCAGTAAAAACTGCTCCAGTGAGCCCTCTCTGCCAGGCACAACTACATAGGAAAGTTTAAATAGGAGGTTTTTTGCTAATCCTTGCCATTTTGAGAGAATATGCTGCAAAGGATAAGATTTCCATACCACAGCCCACAAGATGACCACAAGATGACCACATCACTGCAGTGCGGCTACGTGTAACAGAAGGGATGGCAGTCAGTTCTAGCTATTCAGATGCAAGATGAGTTTCAGGAGAACTGGTCTTCAGCCATTACACTTGCAGCATACAGAATACAAAAATTATCAATGAACTTGCACTAAAACTAAATTGTACTATTTTAAAAACCTTTGTCGTCTAAACTTAGCAGCTAAGTGGCTAACAAGTCTCCTCTAGTTGCTGTACAGCCAAAATGACTACTTGAAGTGCAGTAATGAGCCAACCACAGATACATGAGTACTGTCTGAATATTATGATTGGAATCTGCTTATCCAAGGATGATCTGGATGTTTCTTGTGACTTGCAAATTCTCATCTGATTTTCTATTTGTAACATAAGCTTAGAGAGTAAACTATAATATGTGCACAGATTGATGTCATAACTCTCAAATTCATTTTTAAAAAAGTAACAAAAGCCCGCATATTCTTCATTGTTGAGCTCTCTGGTACTCAGGAATAGGAGCACCATCTGTTTATCAGTCCCTAAGATGATAGTCTCATATTCAACTGCTGCAGTTCTATTAAGCCTCTGCAATATGCAAACGCCCCAGATACGCACATCTAGATGCCACTTCTGTGGCACTGTGCCATTGCAAGAGCTCAGAATCAGACCCGACATATTTTGTGCCTTAACATATGAAGGGAATGAAAGATTGCTACCCTATCATTAGTTTTCAAGTTGAGAATGCAGGACAATTTGCTGCTTTAGTGCATCCAGAGCTCCTCGGAAAACAGGCTAAGGTATTCGGTGTTGTGGGTCAGATGTGGTTTGAAAGGATATAATGAAGTCTTTCTAGAAGCACCACCCTGTCCGTAAGTATTGACCCCAGCCCTTCTGAAAATTTGATTAGCAATTAGAAATGTCATTTTTGTTTTATGCTAGCAGAGCGAAGTTTGCTTTCGGTGACCTGAAGATATGACAACACTTATCTACTACTACATCTGCTGCAGGTGAAAGCAGAACTGCAGTTCCTTGGAGTCATAGGTTTTCAGGTTACAACTGCTGGCTTTTCCTCCATTACATTTTGGCGTTTTGATAAGGAAGTTTATGTCTCCCACTATTAAGTCTAGAGTCAGATTGTGGTTCAAATAGGCAATAGATGGAGTCATCAAGTTCAATGCCGGAAGGGACTATGACATGATCTTGTCCAAACCCTGGTTACATAGTCTGCAGAACTGTAGGTTGAACATGTTAAGAACCATAACTGCAGCATGTTGGTATGGTTGTGCCCAACTCAACTCAAATTAAGTGCCTGATTTTAAGTAAAATGCCTGTTCCTTTACAGAGCAGTATGTCATGTCCACATTCAAAAGGAACCCGCTGGAGCAGGCCTTCCGAACACCCAACGCTCACTTGACATCCAACTACTTGATAAACCAATACTGGATAACTGTCAGTCACAAGGCACCAGCCATACTCTATGACCTGTACATGAGGCTCACGGGGAGAAAGCCCAGGTAAGAAAATGCACGCCTCCAGCTTCCTGCGCGCCTGCCACTGTTATGGAGAGCAGATCTCTAACAAGTTCTGAGAACTGGCGGCCTCAGCCTGGGGTCCCTGGTCTTCTTCCCATCTCCTTGTCTTGAGGAGATTGCTCAAAAAGAAAAGGAACCACATGGCTGTAGCTAAGCATAGCCTAGGGTTCCCACCCTTTCCAGTATCTGGGGACAGCACATCTTTTAAACTCAGCTATACACACTTCAGAGGTTCCCAAGACAGAGAAGAGGACTGGCAGTTACCCTGTCCTCTATACAGCAAGATTTTCACCATTCAGGCTTTCTGATGCGATTGCCTCTATCTGTCATGGGCTTGCATAAAGACTTGTGACTGGTAGGGTTTAGAACTTTACAGCTAATATTTTTTTCCATAAATCAGATGCATAATAAGTCGTTGCCAGCACTGGCTTAGCACCCTGAAATCTAGGACATTTCTGAGTATGAACAGATTCTGAATTGTATTTACAAGGACATTTTACCATTACAATTGGTATTTGAGCCTTGGCAGTGTCATGGCTTGGAGGAACACAGGCACACATGTCCCATGTGGAAGGAATCCTGGTGTAAATGACATAACTCAGCCAACGTCCGTCTTTATTCCCTGCCACCACAGAAGAGAAGTTACTGTGCAAGACAAGAACGGCATGCCAGCACTGTGTTCCACGCCAGCCACTCTGTGCTCCTCTGCTAGTTAGAGAGCTGGCT